TTCTTTTGTTTTTGTGTCTCCCCAAAGAATTACAAGCACCAATCTGTATCTATTCCACCTTTTAATGTTTCAAAGCAGAGCCCTTGGTGATGTAGTGACCTACAAATTGGGCTTCTAACCACAATCACCAGCTGCTCCCCAGGAGAAAATGAGGCTCCCCATTCCCGTGAAGATTCACAGCCTCGGAAACCCACAGAGCCAGTTCTACTCTGTCCTGCAAGGTTGCTGTGAGCTGGAAGTGACTGGCCAGCCATGCCTTTTTTCTTTTTCGGTTCTTAATGATTCAAAGCATTTACTCTAACAGGGAATTCAGGTTCTTGGGTTCGCCAAGTAAAACACAGAACTCATTTCCCCCTTTGAGCCTGTCTTCCTGCATCTGCTGTTTCTTTCGGCGTGCTCTGCAGAATTTCTATGACTTTTCCACTTGTCCCCAGCAATCACTCCGTTGCTTTGTCCTAGGATTTCTTCCCACAGAGCTTCCTTGTGCTCCATGCCCGGCTTGCACTTATGTCAGGCACTATTTCCTGCAAGAATCTCGCCAACTCCAGAAGCTTATCTCCAGACTCATCAGGCTGGCTCATCAGGGCATTCAACACATTTTCAGAGGACGCTTTAAAACCCAGCTGTGGTAATGCCAAAGTCAAACTAACGCAAATGCCACAGCTTGATATTGAAGTCATTCAGTGGTCTGGTCCCACCTGTTTTCTTTTGCATCTTTTAAATGACTCTCAAACGCAATACTCCATATACTTTTTACTGAGGTATCATGATTCTGCTTGGTTTTGACTCTTTTCATTTGAATTGCTCATTGTCTACAATCTCAGGTAACTTTCTCTTAACCGTAAAACTTCCAGGTACTCTGGACTTGGAGTCGTGTGCCCCTAACATACATTTCTGTGTCACTTTGTATCACACTTTAAAGGCACTTACACCTTGGATTTTTAGAGGAGATCACAAGAAAAAAAGGTATGGAAACGAGCCAGTTAGTTATGGAGAAACTAGGAAAGGGTATTAAAATGCAAGGCGACATCTCTAATAGTATTTGTAGTTTTATTTTAAGTGGTTGGCAGTTCAAATGCACTATCTGCCTTATAGGAGAATGATGGGGTTGCCCCCTCCTGTGGAGATTTAGTCTTAGTAACCCTGCTTAAGGTCACGAAGAGTCATAATTGGCTCGATGGCAGTGGGTTGGGGCGCTGGGCTTTCTAGTGTCATTTAGAATGACAGCGAGCCTTTGCAAAAGGTAACACACACCAGCCACAGAGCACATTGAGGGAGACAAGGAGCACTCATTACATTTGCACGAGTATTCTATGAGGTAGGATTACTATTGATCACCTCATTTTCAGCTGAGCGAACAGAGGAAAGAAACGCCCAGTTACTTGCCCAAGACCACTTGGCTACTGACTCCGAGACCCTGGTCGTCTGGTACTAGAGGCCACATGTGTACTTGAACAAGCGCCAATGCCCCTCTTTTATAACACTCATCAATTGCTTCCTCATAACGACCCACTGCTAAAACCGAACAATATCTGCATCATGACTTTATTTCAGGCTATATCAGCATACTATGCAAAAGCTTTATGAAAACTTCTTTCTGTTTATATTTCAAAGTCTTCTGAGTTGCATTAATTTATAGGGCACTAACCTTTTTTATTATCCTTTTATTAGAGACTCCTACATCTCTGGTTACATGCATACATTGATTGCATCAGGCATGTTTGTACCTATGTTGCCTTCGTTCATTTCCACACATTTACTTTCTACTGAGCCCTTGGTATCAGCTCCTCATTTTACCCCCTCCCCCCTCTCCCCATACCCTCTTGGTAGATTACAAATTATTCTTATTTTGATATCTTACACCAACCACTGTCTCCCTTCCCCCATGTTTTCTATTGTTCTTTCCCCCTGGAGAGGGGTGTATGGCTATGTGTTGATCATTGTGATCAATTCCCCCTTTCTCCCTTCCACCACATCCCCCCTACCCTTATGGTATTGCTATTCCCATTTCTGTTCCTGGATTCCGTGTGCCGTGAGCCCCCATCTCTTTTGTGTACCTGTGTCCATGCTCTGGTCTAGTCTGAATTGAGAAGCAGCACTGGGGTCCTGATAGTGGGGCATGAGGAAGCCTCAAGGAATGAGAGGAATATAGTGTGTTTTATCGTACCCTGGTTGACTTATCCCTTTTCTGTGGTCCCACTGTGGGGAAATTGTTCCACGGTCTACAGATGGGCTTTGGGTCTCTGCTCCGCCCCTCCTCATTCTCCACAACATGTTTTTGTTTGTTTGTTATGTGTCTTCTGATGCCTATCACCCGGTCCTGAGGACTCTTCGTGATTGCACCAAAGGTGTGCTTCTTCCACGTGGGCCTGTTACTTCTCTGCTAAATGGCCACTTGTTTAACTTCAAGCCTTTAAGACCCACACGGTATATCTTTTAATAGGCGGGCACCACCTGCATTCTTCCCTACATGTGCTTATGCACCCGCTTGGTCTTCAGCGATTGTGTCGGAGGGTGAGCATCCCAGAATGCCGATTTGTTAGGAGAACTAAGTGTTCTTGTATTGAGGGAGAGTCTGAGCAGAGGCCCGAGGTCTGTCCACTACCACAGAGGACACCATCTTTTGAGAGAGCACTTTAGCTCAGTATTTTTTTTCCCTCTTAAAATAAACTCAAAATTTCTTAAGATTCTTTAAGTTTAAGCATTTTAAAACTCTCTAAAGATGAAGCCACAGCACACTGCAGTGGTAATCCCTCAAAGCTATTTGGTTTACAAAAGGTAATGAGAGAAAAAGAAACAGATTCAAAGAATGAATGGCGACTCAATATTTTGCCTGACAAGTAACATCTGTTCATAACTTATCTAGGTTAAGAAGACAAGATTCGATGTGCTCTATTTGTTCCTTTTGTAAAATCTATTTCTAGATAGCCAAAGAAATCTTTCTTTTGTCTCTATATGCAAAAGCAGGTATTTTCAATGTCCTAATACATATATGTATAAAACGTACAACTGAATATAGACATATTAATTTTATAAGTCTATAGAGGCAGTAAATATATAATTTCTCTATATTATTTTACATATACTATAATTTCTCAGAGATATTTTACAATAATATTGTAGCTAAATGAATAATAAAATGAATTTCTAAATCAGCAATTGCTTAATAAAAAATATTGCTAATGTAAGAAAGTAATAATTAAGCACAATTATCAATTCAGCTTCTATACTATAATGTTGAATAAACTGTTTTATTGAATCATTATTTTTTTATTTTAATATCTTAGTACTGGACAATTACATCTGAAGTTATTTCTTTGCATATCTTCTATATGTGTCCTGCAACAACCACACTCTACTGTAGATTAGCAGAGGAAGTTACATCAGCACCTTAAGCACTTTTATTTTGAATACCTTTCATTTCGCCGATATAGGAGTTCTTCTTCTTCTTTTTATAAAGGGGGGTGGGTGTGGGGACAGATCTAACTCTTGTGTGCTCTTTAAAGTTTTATTGTTCTAGCGTGTTGTTCAGGGAGGGCGCCCTCACATACTCAGGACTTCTGAAGTCAAGGGCCTCCCGCTTCCACTGCATGGCGGTGAGGGTAAAGCGGGGCTCAGGACTTTGGTCCGATTGCTCATGCTCCTCGTTTGAGAGCGCTGCTGCTCTCGAGAGCACCTATTCATGCTCTCTCGACTTGGAGTTTTATTACGTCTTTTGTATCATTTAATACGTCGAAAGACACTTCCGAAAGACAAATTTTTCCATTTTGAAAAAGTAATGGTTTGGAACCTGATAAAACACATTAACATTCACAGTGTGTTCTCTCACACAGGTGAGAGAATAAAAGCGCTATCAAGCAATTAGGCACATGGTCTTAATGCGACGTTAATATGTCAGATGGAAGAAAATGTTTCAAAAGTCAACAAAAACAATATGCTGTGCAAGGTCAAATGGCACGGGGCACACACCGAGACCGCACCTCTCTGTCAGGTCTTTGACTTGAGACCGAGGGCAAAATTAAGGGGAGAAAAGGCAAAAAGAACAGAAGGGGCTATTCTTACCTCAAGAGCGTAAAATTCCAAACTTAGGAAATTTAACTCTAGGAAGCACTGACATAAATGACAATTCATCCCAACAACCAAATGGTGCGTATACATTCTCTAGATTCTAATTCCCCCAGCCCCTCTGAATTTGAGAGTTCTACCAGGGTCAATACTTTTCAGTAAACAGGAAAGTGATATGTCTGACACTACTGAATAAGGCCAGGCATTTTTTAAAGAGTCATACATATTTCTGAAATCCACAATACATCAATTTTTAATACTTCTACTCTCTCAGCTCCATTAAAAAGATGGTAGGGGAAAGATTTTAGAGTAATTAATGATATAGTTAGCTGCTAAATATTAATAGGAATCGTAGTCTTGCATAAAATATAACATATAAACCTTGCCAATACAGACGCACCAGTAATTAAAGTTGAATATGTAATTACCCTGATTTATAAGACAGGCAAAAAGTTACACTTTACTAGCTTCTATGTAAACTGTGGGTAACAGTTAAACTTTGCATTTTACGGTTTATAAAAATGGGTAATATCTTGACTACAGTTCATAAATGGTTTAGAGACCTGTAATAGTAGTAAAAATTACAACTCATTCCCTCATAGATATTCCTATTGCACTCTACCAACCACCCTGTGATAATGACCATCCTATCTATCCTCCTGTTAGATCCTACTTTATGCCCAAGACAATATTAGTAGGACGATGAATTTGTAGAGAGCTCATACTACAATAATTACAGGACATTTGGGAGAATCTGAAAGAAGTATTAAAACCCTACCTGATACATTTTTCCCTGATCAAGAACGTGGTGTAACTTAACCCCACTTAACGTGTATTTTTCACTTGTACACCATGAGAAACTTCAGAAGAACCCTGCATAGGAGAAGCATATGAACATGTGCAGGTTCTTTATGGCCCCTGTTAACCACACTTACATGTGCGGCTGAGGAGAACCGCCCGGACTGCTGTTCCCGTTGCTGTGCATGTGATCCAGGGAACCGTTCAGGTCTTCGTGGACAGCCTGCAGCAGGCCACTGGAGGCATTATTGATCAGTCCGGGGTTACTTAGCAAAGGTAAGCTGCTCTCCGCCAAGGCCGCCTAGCGAGATAAAAGGAGCGTAAACCAAGTTTTAAAATAGCCTAAGTCACTTTTACAGTGTGTTTTCTTTTAAGAAGCTCAAGGCAGGATACAGGTATTTCAGAAGAAGCATTTCCCTAGAATGCTGGCGAAAGACACTCACTCCTAACCGGCAGCAGAGGCATGAAGCATGATGCAAAATATCAACAGGAGCTCCTGCAGCAAACGTCCTCCTTCGTGTCTGGCCCTTCCACATAATGAAACGTTGTATCCCTGGCCCAGCATGCAATCTGCCAGGATAATATAAGCAGTTGCTCTGCTTTCTAAAAATGACCAGAACTTAACTCAAAATAAAGAAGTCCTGACATTTGGCTCCTCTGCATAAAAAATTATATATTATAATTAAACTTTAAAGTTTTTGCCACAAGCACCATGTTCCCCAACACTAGGATGTGAAATCATTTATGACAGCCTGGATAAATATTAATGCACAGCCACATGCATTTGCAAAAGCTTCTATCAACCCAGCGTTCGCAGGAAAACGGAGTGTTCCTGATTTTGCCACAGGGGGTCCGTCTTGCTTCTTCACATCAAAAGTAGCCGGAATTGGAACCAATACTTTCTACAGTGCCAGGTACTACAGCTTATTTGGATGAGAAACCAATGATTAAGAACAATCACAATCCCATCTAAAGGCAAAACTATGCCACAAACACACACACACACAGGAAAAAAAAAAAAAAGAAAGAAAGAAAAGAAAAAGAAAACCAAATAAGTCCATTTAAAAATAAAACAATTCTGGAAAAGCCACATTTAGTGATATTACCTGCAAACTGGCATTAAGAGCAGCTCCATAGCCTAAACTTGTAGGTATATTTTTGACTAAGGTTGGGCTTCTGGAAGAAAAGAAAAGAAAAAGATGAATTCTAAGTCAAAAGATCAAGTATTTCAATATCAATAATCTCTCTGGGGAAAAAAAAGTTAAGTTGTAGCTTGTTGTCTCAAATGACTGGTTTAAAGGGGGTGTTCGGAATGTTACAGGATAAGTTGGTAGACTTCAAATATCTAACCCTCTATGTACCATTCTATCTATCCTATTGGCCCTGGAGAACAAGGTATGACATTTTAGAGCATGGTTTGCAGGTAAAGTAGGGCATGACCTTGAGAATCCCCACACTTGCTTGGGACTGTATGAAGGTTTCACTTCCAAGAACAACCTTCAGATAAAAATTTTAAAATGTCAATATACAACACAATGACCAATTTGATGCAATCAGGAAATAATTAATGGTTAATTTCTAGAACACCATGAATTATCATAACAAATTACCACAGTTAATTAAATGACAATGTAATGGATTAACTCTTGAATGCAGAAACTAGCTCCTCCTTGACTATAGGCATCAAAATTCAAGGGCCTGTGGTGGATAAACCACATGCAAGCCATCTCCTTACACAAGTCCACAGGGTTTGGGGAGACCAATTCAATGGTGCACAGAGCTCAGTTATGAGGCACATGACGTGTTCCATCTTATTTCTGACTTCAGTCTGGCAATCCTGTTCTGCAGGGAGACTAAAGGACTACATGCAAACTTCTCAGCTTAGAGCCTTTCTCTGACTACCATCTCTTTGATCTTCTTTAACTGCCAACATGGTTTGAGAGAAAGTAGGGTCCAAATTGTAAAGTTTGATAAAGAAAATAAAGGTATACATTTTTTGAGGTAGGGGAATCACAGTTGGGGGAAGAAAAAAAAAAAACCTCACAAAAATTCTTCCTGAAGGGGAACCTTCAGGAATACTGGTCTAGCTAATATCAACTTCATTTGAAAATAGCCTTTTGTGTTGGATTGACTAAGGTATTGTATGAAAACAGGTACTTATCTCCCTGTAGAAAAACATGTTTCGATTTTGAAAAACAATTTTTGACACATGCAGAATACTGAAATGGTGAGAAAAGTAACCAAAGAGGCTACTGATTACGCTCGGGGGTGGGGGGAGTGGGATAATTCCTGAGGGCGCCATTATGACTAGATTGGAGATGCAGTCGCTGAGATGGGGATGGTGCTCTTACGGAATTGAACCGTCGGTCCACCCCAACTTAAGTGTTCACTGTTCCTGGCTTTCCTGTGGGGCAGCAGATTACAAAACGATCGTGCACGTACCCCGTTATCTTTTGTGACCTTCGCTTCTGGTATTCGACTTCATCCACGGTCCACACGGCTCCTTTCACGTTTTCTACTCGCACAAAACATTTGTGCAGGCTCAGATTATGACGGACTGCATTCTAAATCAGACATTCGGGGGAGGGAAAGGGTGGCAAAAACAATACTGTTTAATAAAGCTGCTTAAATCCTACA